ACAGGGTCCAAACAGTCCAAGGATGGTCCACATGGTCTCATCAGGATGGTCCAAAGGGTCCAAACAGTCCAAGGATGGTCCACACGGTCTCATCAGGATGGTCCAAGCGGTCTCATTAGGATGGTCCAAGCGGTCTCATCAGGATGGTCCAAGCGGTCTTATCAGGATGGTCCAATGGTCCAAATGGTTGAAATGGTCCAAAGTATTGAAATGGTCCAAATGGTCGCATCAAGATGGTCCAACCGGTCTCATCAGGATGATCCAAATGGTCTGACGATTCCATTTGGACCAACCTCATTTTTCGGCCCAGGCTAGCTGTTCAATCAGCGAAATGGGAAAATGGAACCACAGACATCAGAGATATCAAACACAATCACTGTACTCGTCCCTCATGCCCACCTCTGCATCTCTGCTCCTCTCCTCCTGGCACTTTCCCCCTCTCCTCATGCAAAAATTGATATCCCCCTTACTTCGACAAAGGCGAGACTCGTCCATCACCTTGGTAGTCAAGCTACTATGTCAGGTGGAGGGCTGGGGAAGAACGGATAGTTGTTCCCATCCCATGAAAATGGTGCATCCATCCTGCTTTTCTTTGTTCTTAGAACTTTTCAATTAATTATAAAAAGTACTTTATTACAAGCTTGCACATTACTAACTCTCAACTACTCTCACTTAGAAACAGAAAGAGAAAAATGGAAAGATCCAAAAGGGAAAGGGGTTTCTTTTCCACAAGCTTGCTTGCCCCTTGCACTTTGTCCTCGCCACCCTTCCCACTCTCCCCATCCTGCTTTCTTCCTACCTACCCCTTCTCCCCCTCCTCCTCTCCACTGCCTCCCCTGCATTCCCCCACCGCATGTTGAGAGATGGCTTTCTCATGCTCCTTTCCTTTCTTCCCTGCCAGACTCCACATTGTTTGGCTGGCGGGAGAGTACCTTGGAACCACCACTACCGTCTTCCCCTGGACACAGAGCATACCCTGATCATGACTGCACCTGAACGGGAAGATTGCCTAGTGAACCGTTTTCAAGACGGCAACTTTGCCTCGGGAGCTCATAATCGTCCCGATACATTCCAAATGTTGGACTTCGCCAAATGCATCTGGTCCAGAAAGGCGTCCAAATGCATGTAGTGTTGAATGCATGTAGAGTGTTGAAGGAGTAGTGGAGGGAGGCCCTCCTCCTATCCACTCTATCTATCAACGTCCTTCGACTGATCCCGGAGATCGTGGTGGACCTGTTGTGTACCACGGAACACCATATCAGTATATTAGCCTGACAATCCTTTGTGTGAACACAGCTCTGAAGCCCGCGTCATCTCTCCCTCGGAGGACTTGTTATGTTGTGTCCCCCCCCCCCCCCTCATACTGTCCATGCATNATGTATACCACATGCTGTCCACATACAACCGGTCCACGCATGTATCTCTACCTCGCAGCCTAGCAGGTATATAACATAGTCTCACATGCTGTCCATGCATGTATATAATATTATATTACATTGTCAGATGACTCAGATGTGACATACATGTCAACTAAAAGAGTGCACTTTGTCGAACAAATGAAGAAACTAGCAGACAGTAGCAAGCACACTGAAAGCTTTCCTTTTGGCCTTTGCCCGTCCCCTTCGTTCTTTTCTTCACAGTATACACACTATACAATATGTATTATATTATATTCACATGAAATGAAGAATTAATTTATTAAAGTCATAGATAGATGATTATTAGATTAACCCATTATTAGATGGATTTTCTGACTCCCTTATTAAAAAAAAGAAAAAAAGAAAAAAAAAAAGATGGATTTTCTGACAATGTTTTGCAGACATAGGAAATATAAGGGAAAAAAAAAGAAACGCTACCGAGTCATGGGCATGAATCGTAATATGCTCTGACTGCGTTTCAATGTCCCACAATTGAACTTGTGCTGGCTGTCCTTGTCCTGAGTCGCTTCCGCAAACGAGAGTCGCCGGTGTCGCAAACTGCAGTGCATCAACCTGAGGAATTACAGAATTTCTCTCTCTGTCCAATCACAACCATTCATTCACAATTTCACACAAGGCAGAAAACAAAGCAAAACAAAAAAAACAAAGAACAGCAAACGAACACATCACACCCAGATAGAAAAGATAATAAGATATCAATGGAAATGGATGTCAGTACTTTCTACCACTTTGGAACTCGTCCGTGCACACAAGGAATCGAACCAGCGCCCTCGGCGTCAAGAGCCAAGAGCCGAGTTTGCTAACCACGGCAGACAGACATGGCACGGTGCGTAAAAGTGCAACTGCCACCCCTCCCCTGCATGGCTGTAGTGTTCTTTGTTTTCTTCTTAGTTCGCTGAGTTTTTCTCAATCAACTCTGCGCTCAGGATCATTTCAGCTCTTTCACTGCGTTGAAAACTGGAAGTGTGTGCTGCCTCAATTTTCTTGATCGGATTCACTCGTGTGCTGGCTGCATTTTATGGTTGCTCCATAAGTCCCATCCCCGATTCGGAACAAGCCCCACCCAAGCATTTACAGTGCGTTGGCCGAGCCTGCCCCAGGCCCCCCCTTGAATTCAGGAGGTCCAAAATATATAAGCAGGCCTGCTTATTGCCCCGAATCTTGGATCGTTCATCAGTTCGCAGCCCGTCGGGGATGCGTTTTATACCCCTGAGTAAATTCCGTCGTCGTTCGTTATACCGGTCGTCCATTTGGGTCCAAATCGCAGTTGGAAGGGTGGTGAATTTGCCCAGGGGGGGGGGGGGGCAATTCATGGGGAACGGGCAGTTGTTGCTTGCGGAGGACCGGTATTTGCCCGTAGGAGGCAGAGGAGGCTCGGTTCCTTGAGTTGAATATTTCAAAATCAAAATGGCGTAGGGACACTCACTGCATAGATGCATTCATGTCACTCATAAGCAAACCGACCCTTTAAAACAAAAAACAAAACAAAAAAAAAACAACCCGAAAAGGAAGCTGCTGCAGGTGCTGGCCAGTAGGGACACTCACCGGAGAGATGCATTCAGGTCACTTATGAGCTCTCCCGACGCTATATTCCACAGCAACAAGCGTGTGTCTCCCACTTCCCCGCTGCTAACAAGCAGGTCTGATAAGGAGGCAGATCGATCGGCCATCATTAATCATACATCAGTGCAAAAAAACGGAAAAGAGACAAAGCACACACACACACACACACACACACACACACACACACAC